CGAAATCTAAATACATGTCTGTTTGAAATGGATGACACATTTACCTGAATCGTGTTCATATTCAGCTTGTATTAGTTACTTTGTCCTTGCATCATTCAGGTTACCTCGTAGCCAGCATTGCCTGTTGTGGAAGTGAACAGAAACACGTCTCTTCGCTTCGTGTTCTTCGTGGAGTCTCTCATTAGGACACGAAAGCCTATTTCCCACCTAATTTTGGGTCCTACCCATTATCACCAGTTTAATAGACTCTTCTTATTATCACCAGGAGTTATATATCAAAGGGAGATAACCTATATTTTTTATAATTTCTGTTAAAATTTCACTTTTTATTAAGTGTTTTAAATAAATATGTTTCATATTAGTAATATTAGCTTGAAGTTAAAGCTAAAATAAATACTTCAAGAAGGATTTTTTCATTTTTTAAAATTCATTTTACGTTTCTTTGGAGGTACCTAGATGTTATTTTAAATTTTACTTATTTAGGATTTAACGAACGTTTCTTCAAGAAAGTGTACCGGCTGCAATAAAAAGAATATATGTTTTATTTGTTATTTTTATTTAGGATTCCGAAACGTTCTTTAATGATTCCTAATTCAAAAGAAAATAACTTAAACAATCATATTTTAATAGTAAATGAATAAATATGTATTTACGAAGTAACCATTTTTTATTCGTTAACAAAAATGGAGTATTTATTCACGAGATAATCATCATTAACAATAAAAAATATTATTAGGTAATTATTATAAAAATTATGATAAAAATATTAATAATTATAGAAAATTTAAATATAAAAATATAATTTTTATTTAATGTATTTTGCTTGTGGTGGGCTTTTGTCCGTTTTTCAACTTTCGATAGCAACTTTGTTTTTGTAACGTCCAACCGAAGAGATTACTATATAAACAACAAAAACGATTCAACCTCTTTTCTGAAATTCCGCCATAACATTGTATGTGTTATTTTTACTGAGTGAGTAGGTGGAGCTTGTGATGTCAAGGTTCAGAGTTGTATCGTTTTGAAACAAACTTTTAGATCAAAGAGCAAGGCAGACGGCTCATGGGGCACAGAAGACTAATGTCGCGGTTAACCCGTTGTAAAAAAGAAAATTCAATTTTATAAAAAAGTTATTTTTGTGATAAGCATTTGTTTTTGTTGAGGTGGAATGGGAAAAGAGTAGAGGTCACCTATCTTATCACGAACGTTAAAAAGGCGCAAACATTTAAGATACAACTATTACGTGAAATTTAAATCAACAGATATTTATTACAATACATATTTAAAACAAATACAATATTTCAATAGATGGGTTTGCACAAAAATTTATTTTGTGCGCCTTATTTAAAAAAATAAAGCAGGATAACATATCAAGCCTTATACACGTGATTTAAATTAAAGAAAAAGATTTCAAAACAGTTTTCGAAATGAAAACTTTGAAAAGTTAATGCAAATTTAAGGCAAGGCAGAAAATACAAAAGGTGCACCCACCTAAGATGAAAAAAAAACTACCAGAGCCCGAAGGGATATTAGATAATTTTGAAGTACCTATGTTACGGGGACTTTCTTTATATTTTTTTCTTTTATAGAAAGATTATGTCAAGGAATTTCTGTTCCTTTAAAAAATTCTTCTCATGAAGCAGTCAGAAAATGGTTTCCGTTCTAGATCCTTATTCTACCTTCTGGGTGAAATTTATTTGTCAGTACATCTTAGTTGAGATATTTAGTTCTTGTTAGAAGATTTGAAACATTTCGCAACCAGCAGGCTCCGTCCCCTTTGCGTAACTTATCACTCTCTTCTGCTTTGAAACCTCTTTCTGCCTTTAAGTCTGATTACATTCTGCACTTATCTGCTGGTTAGTCTCCTTATATAGGAAAAAAAGAAGCACCAACTAGACCGTAACTTAAAAATTTACGATGGCATAAGCCCACGATATTGATTGGACAATAAATAAAATAGTACATATTTTTTCCAATTCAAAAAATGAATTTGCAACAATCCGCCGAGACAGAAACAATTTTGGCGTTTCTTCAACCGCTAATTCTAAAAATAGAAACGTTCACAGACAAATGTAACAATTTTTAATAAACCGTCTGGCTTTCTTTAAAATACACTTCTCTAAAACGTACGTATAATTAATAGAAAAACCTAGATGATTATAATATTTATTTGTTTACGCTTTTTAATTAATTAATAATTATTTCATTTTTACATTACTAATAATTTTTTTATAAGATGTAAAAATTTTATTCCTTACCAAATCTAAGTTCTTGTGTCAATCACAAAAACTTAGTAGGAATAGCAAGTCATAGACGCAAATCAAAAATAAGATTCAACCACTGCGTAAAATTTTAAAGGAAAAAAGTTTATTACACAATTACGAAAAAGGTACAAATACAAAGTTTGCACAATTTTTCATTTTATGCGCCTATTAAGGCAGGATACCAAATTTCTGGTAAAAAGGATTTCCATCGAAAAATGGAAAAAATACAGCTTGGGAAATTACGAGGATTTTGAAGAAGACAAAAAGAAAAAGAAAAAAACAATACGAGAAAGTAGAAAAACAAAGGTGCAACCACATTTCTGAAAAAACAAAACAAAAAAACGGAAACACCTACTTTTACTTGACCCACGAGCGTCTCTGAGACATAATCATTTTTGAAAAGTCCCGTCTAAATTCACACAGTTCGTGCTTGGGAAAAATTTCTTACAATTCTTTTCTTTCTTTGTTGTCCAACCGTAGGAGAATTTTCACTCGAACGTCAAAATTCTCTGCAGCTGGCCGATAACTGGCACCTTCTTGATGCTGTCAAAAGCTTTCTGCTTCTTGATGTTGATTTGGCTTGTCCCCTTGCTGCCAAAAACTTTCTCTCTTCGTTTGGTTTGGTTTACGGCATATTAACCTCAATGAGTTATTTAATACCGACAAGATTTTTATTACTGACTAGCAGTAGAGCCCGGCTTTGCCCGGGGATGTAACAGTAAGAGATAGATCAAGTATCGACCATCATAAAGACTGAAAAATAAAATTGACAAAGATTATTGTTTAAGGTTGACGGACTTTTTTTTTTTTTTTTTTTTTTTTTACGAATTGGTCAAGCCCAAACTCAAACAAAAACATTGTTTTCAATCGTTATGAGTCTATCGATTGAATAGAATTTTATTATAAACAATTGTCTTGTAAATGGAATTTTTAAAGCATTCTGAATGTAAAAATAAAGAAAAATATATGCAAGACAATGAGAAACACTACCTGCCAAAAAAAGTGAAGTTTTGTTTAAATCGGTAGAAAAATGTAGGAAATCCGATCCCATATAAAAAAAAGAACATACACACGCACACGAACAACCTGGGTTTTATAATAAGTATAAATCGATATGACTTGTCCCCCTATCATTCTGGCGACATAATCGTGTTTTATCGTGTTTTCAAATCGTTTTCATGCAAAAACAATTGTGTTTTTCCAGTTTTTGGCGCTGTCAGAACCACCGCACGGTAATTTTACGCAGTCCTGTGAAGTTTTGTTGAAATCGGTTGAAAAATGTAGGAAATCCGATCCAATATATAAACGTACACACACACACACACACACACACACACACACACAATCTGCGTTTTATAATAAGTAAGATAATTTTTTTTAAATGCATAGCTGGTAATATTTTTTTTCAAAAATGTATTGCTGGTAATAATGTATAGCTGGTAATAATTTTTCTTCAAAAATTTATTGCTGGTAATAATTTTTTACAAAGTATTCCTAATAATAAAACTTATCTTTACATTTTCATGGTGTTTTGACCGCAGTTTCGGGGTTAACTATTTACCCATAGCCGGGACCCTAACAGATGCTACCACCCCGGGTCAGGGTGGACCTGGGAACACCAACAATTAAGAGGTGGTTCCATGCTCCTCAAAACCTCCTGATCAGAGGCCTTTATCGTCTTACTGAAGACGCGGATGTAGTTTATTGTCATACCCAGGATGCGGATATAGTTTATTTATCGTCATACCCAGGACGCCTTTTTCTCTCTTTTCGTCCACTGATTTGAGTTCGGAAATTTAGGCACACAGACGGCTCCGTCCAAGTTTTCACAAGGCCATGGCTCTCATTAGCCACAAAATACGAAAAAAAAACAATTCTCCGTCACAATTTTGGCGGTTTAACAATATTTTTTTGGCATTCATAAAAATACAATTCTATCATGTTCTTAAAGAAAAACAACCTAGACGATTAAACATTTATTCAAAACCAAGGTTCTTAAAAGTAGTAAAAAAATAAAAAAATCTACAATGTAACCGTAAGTTCTACGCTAACAGTTTCTTCTATCGCACTTCTATTTGTGGAATTCTCTTCTGGATTTTTGCTTTCCCGCCAACTTTGAACTACAAAGAATTAAATGGAATGTCAATTGTTATCTTCTGATACTAGGCACGCCGCTGTCTGAGCATCTATTTTTCTCGATGAATTTATAATTAAAATTTTGTTTTGTAAAATTTACATACAAATACTTTTTTGTTTATCATCCGGTTCACACTCTTCCCAGGACTTTTGAACAGGATTTGAAGTTCATCCTTTGTTTTCTGTTTAGGATTGATTTTCCGGTCTCTACTTATTAAAAGTCTACTTCATCTCTATTTTTAACGTCTCCGACTGAACTCTGAAATGTTAGTTATCAGTTATATTCACTAAATCTTGACCTATTCAAGTCTAAAGTCTTTCATGCATAGCCCTAAGAACTTCAATTTTTGTCCTTTCTTTCTAATACAATACCACACAGTAATCCTCTACATCAAGTGACTCTTGGGCTTTGTATTGGGTGAACATTAGTAAAAAAATGTCAATACCAAATTTAAATTCATACTTTTAGGGTTGGCGCTAAAATATCATTATTTATGATAGATGCCATTTACAATCTATTTTAGTCGACTGAGTGTCCAAGGGCAGATAACTCAATGAGCCTAAATTTCCCGCCATATTTTGTAAAAATCTTCATTAGCAATCATGTGGAGCACACAGTCAGGTAATTTATTCACTTCTCAAATGTCTTGTTTATGTTTTATTTGACTTTTAATGTTATTCGTAATTATGGAAGCCTCTTATTTTAAATGTGTGTAAGAGTTGCTTAAACGCACCCCCCAAAAATAATTACACAAGAAGATAAAAATGAAGTTCGTATATGTTTAAGTTAGACACTATTGTACGTCTCTAACAAAAAAATAATTACTTTTCTGCTTTCAGTTAGATATATTTTACTATTTCTACTTATTGATTTTTTAAATTTTCTATCGCGAACATTGTATTGTTTTTTAATGTTGCCAGTAATTTTTATGAACTACGAAGCTCGCTTTTAGTTTTCTTATGTGTAACAAGCTCAATTGTCTTTTACGAGGGCAATAAAGACTTCGTAAATAACATTGTCCATATCGTAGTATTTTAGCGCCCCCCCCCAAAAAAAAACTATGAATATACCTAGAATTTGTAATTAAAAATAGTTCTTTTTTTCATTATTCGCGTTTTAATATCGAAATAAGAAAAGAAACGTAAGCAGTTATTGTAACTTTTTTCTTTGTTAAATGCGAAGATAACTAAGATTGATGTACATTACGTACTTTTTACTCGTTTACTTACTTTTTTAAAAAAAAATAAACAGTATTTCAAAACTAAAATCGAAATACCAGGCTGCTATTGTTGTTATTTATGCTCTATCGTGTAAAGTAAAATTAGTTTTCAGAACAACAGTAACGCTGTCACTTAAGCTCATGAAACAAAAAAAAAAAAAAGAGTCAGTAGAGAGAGAATCAAGTGTCCCCCAGACTTTTTACGCCATCACCACTCCCCACCCTTCATCGAATCCATTATCATTCAGTGACACCCAAGCATGTACAAAAATTAAATTAATAATAAACCTTAATTTTAATTTTTTTTTTATTTAAAGGTAAAAATTAATTTGCTTCTCCCTTCATTATTATTTCTCGATAAAATTTTTAGCTTTACGGTTATTTCTTTTTCTTTCAATTTCTATTCCTCTTCCTATACGAAACGTGTTTGTTCGAATAACAACAGGTACCCACCAAAAAGCGATACCCAAATTTTAAAAAATGAATAATCTTATTTAATTTTAGTTTTAATTCCAAGCTAATAGATTTTCAATATAATTTAATGTTCCCAATAAGCAAAATACTTTGGTGTACTGTGTTTGTAACCAAATTTAAATTGATTGGAATCTTTTTTTTTTTTTTTTACCTTTATCAGTAAAATCGATGAATTCGTACATATTGACAAATCTGTCAACACACTAATTCTTTTTAAAAATCTTTCAAAAATAAAATATGCTTTTCAAAAACCTTCAAGTTCAATTAAGTATAACTTTTAATTTGAATCGCAGAAAAACACTGGGTTGGATTGGAAGTGTTGAGTAATTTTTATTGACAGCCTGATATTTGGCAAACATTTAGTTACCGAACTGAAAAATTACTTTAATTACAAAGTGAATCCTTTTTTATATAACTTTTTTTTTAACTACACACTAATCTTAACAATTTAAGAAAATATTGTAACCATTCTAATATTTTATTGAATTTTTCGTAACCTTATGAAGACATTTGGTGAGAAATTTATAACATCATTTTTACACTTCTATAAACATCTCACAATATTTATCGTGAATTTCAAACAGTTGTAAAAAAAAAAAAAATTAACAACTGCACAAATCTCATGAATAGTATAAATTGTCTTAAAGATGAAACTAAATTCTCATCCATTTGTGCAGTCTGTTTACAATATGCATTGGATGAGCAACTAAATGTATATGCACATATATGATTGTGCATTTTGTGTTCTTGTGATACAGCCCACTTTAAACAATGTGGTGTCCATAAAAAAAAATTGTCTCCTGCACTATGTGTAACAAGCACATCAGTAGTGGCTAAACTATAACATGCATTCCACATCAAATATTATTTTCTAAATGTATGTTAAAATAATTTTTTTTTGGTTAGATGTTGCACAAAATGTTAAGCTATTAAAAATAGGAACAAAGATGAAAACCATATATTTTTAAGAACAAACCCCAGTTCTCAGAAAACTCGCTTTCTATAAAACTGACATCCAGGAATCCCTTGATTAGTGTGGCTAATTTGTACATTGGTAACTATAAAAAAAAAATCAATTTTCAATTACTATTGTTAAACTGAAGAATGTTTTACTGCACTAATCGAATTTTGGTATATAAAAACTTTAGCACATTAATCAAGGGATGCTTGTATTGTGTTGGGTACTATCACAGGCATCTGGATTGCTATGTCTCACATAATGCTGTTGTCAATGTCCAATCATCAGTACAGTGTAAATTGAAGTATGGATTTTGGTGCCTGTGTATACATCAACAATAGAAGCAGATGATCTTCACTTCCAAAGTGACAACACCCTGAAGGAATATTTTCAAAACTCTAAACTAACGGAATTATATTTAGCACATAGTACCAGTAAATTAAGCAGTTTTCAACATGGGAACAGACATTCTTAAGTACAAACATAAAAAAATAGGTCCCAACTGACAGACTTGAATATGTCGTGTTTTGTACATTAACAAGTAAACTGAATCCTGATTATGAAAAGTTTTCTAAGCTGCATTAATTTCTGTAATAAATGTATTAAATATGAAACTATTTTCTCAAAGATTTGTGCAGTCTGTTGACAAAATGCATCTAATCTGAATAAAGGTCAAATTCTCTCTGTCCATACTTTTCTGAAACCCCTTTAACCTGGGCCACACTTGCTCAACAAAGTCATATACATTTTGACACTGACTATTTGCATATGAATGATACTGGACAGATATTAGCCTAATAGCCAGCATGAGTCTTGGTCTGGGACTGAGAGAGCTATATAACACTAGTTTTTTCTCAGTTGAAAAGGAGCACTCTCAACATGCAGACATGTGGAAAATCAGCAAGATGAAAACAGTACAATCACAGGCATCTGGATTGCTATGACCCACACTTTGCTGATGTCAGTATCCAATAAGCAGTACAGTATAAACTGAAGTATGGATTTTGTGCCTATGTATGCTTCAACAAATGTGGAAATAGAAACAGATGATCTTCATTTCCAAAGTGACAACACCCTCAAAACTCTAAACTAGGCAGGATGTGTGTGTAACGAATGGACAGACACAATTTTCGACGGATTTGCACCGAAATTTACATGCACATGCTTCAAGTTAGCGGGAAGGCCAAGACCGACTTTGCATTTCCCAACTCCCATTGATAGTAGAAATAATCAATATTTTTCATGCTTCTACAGCAGTTTTCATGTAGTTTGCAGCCATTTTGTACTGACCAGAGTGAGAGCCAATAGCTGGCTGCCACGAATAGGCAGGAAGATTCTATTGGCCAGCGTGAGAGCCAACAGACACAAATGTTAACTAGCATGCCAAAAAAATCGATAACTGCATTCGTCACAAGTGGGAAAAATTTAAATCTGCATGTTCCCATGTTGAAAACTGCTTAATTTACTGGTACTATGTGGTAAATATAATTGGCTCATTTGCTTGCTTAAACTCAACGTTGATTCTGATTCCACAGAACTGGGTTGGGTGTGAAAAAACATTTGTTGTTAACATTCTTTTTTCATTCGGTTTTTCCAGTTATGAGTCCTTTTTTAAAGCTGATCATTTTGTGTTCATTTTGTTTAGTTCTTTTTTCCTAATAGATTTCATGTTTAGTATAGAGCTTAGAAAAAGTTTGCAGTGTGAGATAGGCAAGAAGTAAGGCATGTAACAACATCAGCACGGCAAAGAGAACTCCTTTAAAGGCAAGGAAGGGCAGAAATATTTTAAGTCAAGTGATAGCGATTGCTGCATGAGTCGTATGATTTTTGAATCAAGCATGGGCAACGCCAGGCCATACTGCTAGTTGAATTATATTTAGCACTTAGCACTGGTAAATTTGACAATCTTAACTTTTCCAGCAAATTTTGTTCATTCTTTATTTCAACATACATTTGGGAACAGACATTCTCATGTACTAACATTGACAAATCACAAAATAGGTCTCCTCTGACAGATTCGAATATGCTATCTGTCTTGCGTATATCAACGAGTAAACTGAATCTTGATTATGAAAAAGTTTCTTGGCTGCACAAATCTCAGTAATAAACAGGGTTCGTACAGGTCCTGGAAACCTTGGAAAATTGATAGGGCCTTTTCCAGAGCTTGAAAAGTCCTGGAAAAATGGCAACATCCAAAAAGCTCCTTGAAAAGTCATGGAATTTTCTAAATTGGGCTGCTCACACATCCCTTTTCTCAATTCACAAAAGTCAAAATGCCAAATCCAAAAAATCTGGTTTTTTTTTTTTTTTTTTTTTTTTTTGTTTGTTTTTGTTGTTTTTTTTTTTTTTTTTAAGCTAAAACTGTCCTTTAAGGAATATAATTTTTTTTTTTTTTTTTTTAATTTTAGTCATCAGTAATATTTGGCAACAGTGAATGGTGGTTTGTTGTTTCCTTGATTAAAATGAGTTCATGACCTTGTAGTTACTTCTGTATTTCCTTGTCTAGATGATAACGAAAGAATATGAAGGTGTATCTTCTAGTTGCTACCCTCACTCAACAAGAGGAAAAACAAAAATAAAAAGTGTCAGAAACAAGTAAACATTTGTCAAAGATAAATTGATACACACTCATTGAATTTGTAGTTGAAAGGAAAATAAAAAAAATAATTTTTTTACAATAATAAAATGCATTTTAGTAAAATTTTGAAAAAAAATTTTCAGTGTTTTTTAAAATTTGAACAATTGAAGAATTTTTATTCACCTGTCAATTTAAAAGTAAAAAGTCCTTTTTGATCTCTAGTCAGTGGTGGGTTAGTTCATGCTGAAAATTGATACTTTATTCATCCTGTGTCAATGTGTATCTATGTGTAAACTATGTTTGTCTAAATTGTTGCCAAAAATAACAAGTTTAAGGATCAAACTTGACTCAAAGAGAATGTAGATGGGAAGGATGATAGAATAGAAAATGTGCCTTTGATGTGTCTTAGGAGAGGATGGAAAATGCATCTTTGAAAAAAAAAAATAATAATAATGTTTTTAAGGTTTGCAGGCTAATAATGACCTGTATCTTTTGTAAGTGTGAAAAAATAATGAAATATATTAAAAAAAAAAAAACTTTAAAAGTTCAATCTGGCAATCCTGTCCCTTTTACTTTGATGGCTAGAAAATGTACAAACATGTGAATGACTCCTAGACTTTTAGCCAGATGTCATCATGTCCCCAGACTAAGTCCTTCTCTAGGGTCCTGTCAAATGTGAAACTGCAGATTTTTGTGTCTGCTTAGAAAGACATTGAACTGTTTCTGGTAAAATATCAGAGCGATAAATTACCATTGCTTCTTTTCCTCACAGGTCATTAAACTGTTAAGATTTGTAAAGATTTGCACACTAAAAAGATAACATTTTCCAAACTGAATGAATTTGTAAGAATTTTATTAAACCTAAACATGCATAAAGATGCTGCAAAGATCGAGTATGGATTTTTTGGCTATGCAAAATTTATCCAAAAAAGGAAATATGTCAACAAGATCTGTTTGCTTGCAGAATTGCAACAGATACAATGTTCATCACAATCATTGAGAAACTTCTGGCAAAGTCTCCTCTTAGACGCCCTCTTGTAAGTTTACTTGCATGGCTGAACCCTGGATCCATTTGTGAAAAAAATAATGCCACAGAAGACAGTTCAAAAAAGATGTCTTTCCCACATGATGGACAGAAAACAAGTCAGCAAGTCTGATTGTGATGATATCGTCAGTCCGTACAAAGAGTTTGAGGAGGAGGAGGAGGAGGCTGCTGGAAATATTGCTTTCAAGAATTTCAGCAAGCATGAAGACCATCTGGACACTTTGTTCTCTTTTTTTGTCTCGAAGCAAAGAATATCAAAAACTGTGGAAAGTTGTTTGCAGATTTTTAGTACTCTCTCATGGACAGGACTCAGTGGAGAGAAGCTTCTCAGTCAGTAAAGGAAATTTCCATTGACAATATGAAACAGCAGACTCTGGTTGCACAGCATATTATCACGGATTATTCCACATATGGAGGTGCTGGGAATGTTCCCATGACTAATGCTCTTCTCTGCAGTGCTTCCAATGCTAGAACAGAATATAATCAATATTTTGAGGCTGAGAAGAAGAAAGGCATGAAGAAGCATCTGGACAAAAAAAAAAAGAAATCTATGCTTATGGAAATTGAAGAACAAAAAACACAAACTTGAAAGTTGCACACAAGATTTGCTCAAGCGAGCTGACAGCTATGCAGAAAAAGCTAAACAATCTTGGAACTTCACATTTATCGCAAACCATGAGCTGAAATGTATAGCAATAAGAATTGAAGTGTCATTCAAAATTTTCAAGTGTAGTAGAACTCCGATCTGTAGAATGCTACACAAAATGTAGCATAGTCAGGTCTGAATTCACTTGTGTTTTAGCATTCAACACTTTGATTTCTTTACTGCTTTCAACTGCTCCATGTAACATGAATTATTGAAACCAACTGTAGCTTTTCTTTGTACATCTCATCTGCCAAACTATTAAAAGATAAATCACAAAGTTTGTTTTTGAAATTGATGAACATTCACTTTGTGTGTGTGTGCACGCACACCAGTTTCAGTCCCTGAAACTTCTTAAGATAGTCCTGGAAAAGTCCTGTAATCTTTTTTTACACAGATCTGTAGGAACTCTGAATAAATGTATTTTTTACCTCGACAGAAGTAGATATGTTTGTATATCATCTGCTTCACACTCCTCACTGGTTATTTGAATAGGAATAGAGTTTTATCCTATTTTTCCTGTTTAGGATTGGATTTCCAGTTTCTTCTAAAGTTTTTTCCTATTCTTTTACTCCAGTAGCCCCTTGTCAGTGGCATTATCACCTTGCTCGGGAGGAATTGATTTAAAAAAAAAAACCCTTCTTACAAGCTATAGTTTGAATAGCAGTGCAGACTGGGATCCTTAGCCATAGTGTCACAACCAACAGAGGAGGATAACTCTGAATTTGAAACCATAAAGGAAAGAGTGTTAATCTGTTATGCAACATCGATGATCCTGTATAGCAGTGAATGGTGGCCCATCTCCTCACAGGTGAAAAGACTTGATTCTACAGAAAGATGCTTGAAACACCATGGATTAAACATTTCAGTAATGAAGAAATTTTAAGGAAAATGGAAATTAAAAAAGAGATGGTTGAAATTTCTAATTAGGATTCCTAATGAGGGAACAGGGCTCAGCAAATCTGACACTCACTTGTCCCTATTGAAGGACAGGAAAACAGTGAGTAAGCTACCTAACAGGCTTGTGTAAAATGATTGGCAGAACAGCAATTGGGAGAGATGACTAAAAGACGTCGTGTTACTAAGAGTTACAAAGGATAAGAAGTTGTGGAGAGCCATGATTGTCTACATCCTGAAAGAAAACAATACAGACACAAAGAATATAATCCTGCTAAAATGCATACTGTATAGTAAGTACCTCTACAAAAACACAATAGCTAACATTTAAAATTAATTTTTAAAAAAGAAAATTCTTTCTTGAAGCTTTTATTTTAGTTTTAATTTCAAGCTAATGCATTAAATTTAATATTTCCAATAAGCAAAATGCTTTGCTTAATTTCAAAAGCTAATTTAAATTGTCTGGGAGGAGTTTCATTTTGAAATTCCTAAAATCAACGATTTTAGCACCATTTTTAGCCTTCTGTTATTACAATGTAATTCTATTTATTAAAAAAAATCTTTCAAAAATAAAATATACTTTTCTGAAACTTGAAGAATATTAGCTGATTTAAAGTTTAATTAATCTGATTTGAAACCAATATTACTTTAAGCTTAAACTATTGCAGAAATGCATTTTTAACACTAGCTGTCTATTTAAGGCATTAACAGCTTGACTGACAGACAAGTTTATCTAATTTTTTCTGCAGTGGATATGTCTGTAAAAATTATTTGAATATAACGTGATCCCCTTTTCTATACAATTTTAACTACCTAGTAATCTTTAAAATATTCTCTGTATTCTAATGTTTTGTTGAATTTTAGGAACTTTGGTTTAAATTTTCTATAGTTACTGCTCTTATTTTCTGATAATGTGGTGTATGAATGGCCATATTTACAAAAATCAGCACATTTATACACATGAAAAAAAATTCAGAATTCTTTTTAAAAATATTGGCGGTCCCTAAATTGTAACAAGTTTTTCATTTATAATTATTAAATATAGTTTTTACTTTACAGTATCACCAAACTGGTACAAATAAAGACAGAATTTTAAAAGATTTAAAACTTTATAAATTACTATAATTAAAATTTAAAAAACTGAAAACAATTCTTGAAAAATTCATTATTCATTGAAAGTTTTTTTTCTTGAAACAATAGTGATTTTAATATATCTGATTCATAAAAAGAATTAAAAGCTTTTGTAATTAAATAATGTCTTAGTTTTACTGTATTTTTTATTTTACAATTTAGAGCAGATTTTCGGTAACTGAGTGTCCTATTTTATAAAAAAAAATTAGTGATTTAAATTCTCCAAGGAGTTCTGCTTTTAACTAATGCAAACATTAAGCAGTACAAAATTTTATTTCTTGAAATTTCATAAATTAAATAAGTATGTTTGTATGGTGGGGTGTAAGGGAAGAGTTGTAAAACACACACACACACATTTTATCAAGATTTTCTTAAAAAAAAAAAAAAAAAAATTTTTAAGATAATTTCATTCATTTGTGAAAGTTTCATTAAAATTCGACAATTATTTGATTTATTTTTTTTTATTTTTTTATTTATTTATTTTTATTTTTTTTTGCAAGAATTTTGAAAAAAAAAAAAAAAAAAAAAAAGATGCTAAAATTCCCTGTCTTTGCCCACCCTCTCCTGTGGATGAAAAAAAATAAAACATCCCAAATTTTGTGCTTTCTAAATTGGAGAAGAAAGACAAAATGATTTTTTGATTCCTAAATCATATTTTTTTTATATGATTTAATAATCCAAACATCCTTTTGTCTTTCTTAGTAATAACCAAGATTTTGATGCTAAAACTTTGTTTTTATTAAGTTTGGGATATTTTTTTTCATCACGGTATGCTAATTTTTTAGCGAATCACTGGAGGTACCTAATAGCTATCGAAAAGATTATATAGTTTATGACTATGATCTCAACTGTGATCGATGTAGTAGGTAGGTATTTGAATCATAAGTTGGTGATAGGCAAAATTCAGATGTGATAATAGAAAATGAAAGTAAAGCAGATTTAAAACCTTGCATGTTTCTCTTTTTGTAGTTGATGACAGTTACAACCCTAATAATGATAGCCTGCAAGGAGGTTACATGGCTGGACGGCCAGGTGGTGAGGAGGACGAAAAGGTAAGCTGAATCGGGAAATAACCAACAGCTTATGAAAAGTGGTGTTTTTTTTTTTTTTTCACTCCAAAAGTAAATACTGGTAATAATAGTAATATCCTGAAATCTTTAATAGACAAAACATTGTCAGCCATTTTTAATTTTTGACTTTTATTTCATCTTAATTTAATTTGCTTATTTTATTTGTTCATACTAAATATAAGCCAAGAAAACTCCATTAAAATAGTAATAATAAATGAGGTGTGTGATATGAAAAAATTAGGAAGTTATTAGAATAAGGAGATTAGTTAATGATTGACCCTTGACTAGAAGAGGTCAAGATTAAAGTATTCAGGGAAAGTTTTCCACTTATAGTATTAGTATATTAGTAGCAATAATATTATGTGGAATTTTTATTAGATGAAGCATTGTCAGCCATTAATTTTTAACTAAGATTTCTTTCATATTAATTTCAATTGCTTTATTTCCATTAGTAGTGTTAGTAGTAGTAGTAATATATGGAATTTTCATCAGTTGAAGCATTATTCTTTTTTTTTTTTTTGACTAGAATTTCTTTTATCTTTATTTCAGTTGATTTATTTAGAAAAAAAATTAATCATCTTTGTTTTATTTATTGAGGAAAAATTAAATTTAGAGATAAATAATACAAATATCCATATCTTGAGTTGAAGACCTTCATTTTTAATTCAGGTCTCTTTCACCAGTTATTCGTGTGTAGAGATAAACTTAAATGCAGTATACACTCTGTTTATAAATTAATTCCTGAAGGCTGTTTGTCACTAGTTCCCATACAATAAATAAAGTTAAGCGACATTGAGCTTAGTCAGTACCTAGATGGGTGACTGCTTGGGAATTCCATCTACTTTAATCTTGGAGGTGCAAGCGGTGTAATGTATAATGATTTGGAATTGTTTATCAGAGAGCCGAGTTCCAATTTCAGTTGGGCTCATTATATTCACTTAAGTGCAAATACCTTTGGGGGAAATGTATGAATCCACTCTCTCCTGCTCCAGCTATGAGTTAATTAGTAAGACTTTTATCACTAAATTATTATTACCTGAAAAAAAAATCTTACAATCTAAAAATATTTTTTGGCTTTAAATAACCAGCAAAAGATTGGTAAGTTGTAAAAAAACAAAAATGAATCAATCAAATCAAATAAAGGCTGTTTGTTACCCAAAACTGTTTTCCCTAAACACCCTCATAATGAATTCTGGTTTAGTACACAATTCGTTTCACTGAATGGTGACATCATTCCACTATGCCATTCCCAGCTGGAGCATACGGGTAACAGAATTCCCCACTCCTGCGCAAAATTTCTGAACTCCTTGCTGCAAAAAGCTGTGTCATTGTCCATAAGGAGCTCATACAGTGGGCCACACTCTAAGAACACTATCTCCAGCTGCCGAATTAGACTTGCTGAGTCTTGCCTTGACAACTGCTTCCAAATGGAGAAATGTGACAGGCCGCAGTCTATGAGGGTTAAGAAATTGCACAAACAGAATTGCGTTATGGCCATTCCTAACCTCTGCCAATTCTTGTTCACCTCAAGCTTTCCCTTTTTCCAGCAAACTGGTGCTGGTTTATCAATTGGCATTCTTTGCACCCCTGTATGGCTGATTTAACTGCTGCTTTTGTCACTGCTGGGCAAACTCTCCTGATGAAGTAAGTGGTGCGCTATACTCCCGGGTGCCCACCACTCCTGTGGTTCAACAGGATTTGACTTGCATCCAGGTCATCCACGTAGGCAGCACCGATCAATGGCCCAGGTCCATTTTCTTTCTTCGTCATGCTAAACTACCGCTGCGGCACTCTGGTCAGTCAGTCGGCCATGTTTTCAGGTGATGTAACCAACATCACATCCACACTGTCTTCTGATGCTTGCTGTCTTGGTATGCACTCATGTCTTCCCAGTAAGAGTGTCTGATACCCACTGGTACAGAGAGAGTCCGTCTTAATGTACAGCACCTTGCTCTGCAATTGGAGAGCCAAGTTAATGCCTTTTAATATGGCATCTGGTTCAGCCAGGTTTATGTAATGGACATCGTTTTCTGGTCACAACCAACAAGTGTCTTCTAGCACAGTCTTGTGCCTCTCCAATGCTACACTGATTGCTAAAGAACTTGCATCGACCCGCACGTTCATCTTCTGACTGTCCATGCACCAATCCTCACAAGCCAGATCATTCCGCTTCACTGCATCCATGGTCTCAAACATCAAATGCTGGAGAAGAGTGTCCTTCACTTCATCATCCCAGCCCTTCATGACCGCACTGGCTCTCTTCTTGATAACTCCACAAGCCACTCACACAGCAGGAGGTGCCCAACAAGCCTCCCACACAAGGAGAACATGTTGGGAACTTCTAGGACCATGTTTCTGTGCTTCCACCACAATTCATCGTGTTCCATCCCAATGGTCAATCCCAGCGCTCATGCACCATCCACCAACCTTTCTGGATCTTTGTATTCCAGTCCAAATTGAGCCAAGTGTTCTCTGACGCAGATCACGGAAACATCTTTGTTAACATAGATATTGTCAGTGTAAGCTGAATCCGCACAGTCAATATCTTCTTCCTGCAACACCACTGTGCTGACAATAGCCTTCATGATAAGGGGGGCCACATTTAGGCAAAACCCCAAATGTGTCAGGCAGTACTGCTTCCCTTCAAACTTTACGGTCTGGAATGGACACAAAGTCTTGTGGACATGTACTTGGAGGTATACTTTCCTGAGGTCCAACAGAGATACGTTTGAACCTTTCTGCCGCTATTCGTGTAGCTTAGCTGCACAGATATCTGTGTTAGCAGTGAACGCGCCAATGTGATGGTTGAGCTCCTCATAGTCCATCACAGGGCGCATCTTTTCTTTATTCTGCTGCAGCAAGGCCATCAGAGGAATTAACTCTTTGGGAGGCCCCAGCCTTCCTTCTGGGTATGGCACAAGCCAGCTAATATCTATCCATGTGTGGAGCTACCAGGTATTCTGACACTCCATTTTTCAGTCCTTCCAGTGCACGGTCCTCTAACCACTTCCATGCTGCAGTCCATGATCAACTTAGATGGTTGAAGGTGGCAGTGAAATCGGGTTCATTGATGGAAATGGCTGCGCACATAGTGATCTTCCCATTGCCGATCTGCGCTGATCCTGTTGGCCCAACAAGGATAACTTCCCAATGCTTTTATTGCATCAATCCCCAGCAGAAGGTCAAAACCTAGCGGTTTGCCACGCACCACCAGAACGTCAACCTTGGAAGAATCGCCCTTGTCTGTGGATATGGTGACCACTCTGATACTGCAACACACATTGGGTGTACCTGCAATCGTCCTGGCATCCACCCTTTCCTGCCTCCAGGATCAGCACCAATCTGCATCTATTATTGTCCGCAAACAACTAGCGTCAATTAGCGCCGAACATCGCATCCTGCCAACATAAATGCTCGTCTCTGTGAGCGCCGTGTTTACATTTTGGAGTGGGAGAAGGTTGGCACTGATGTCTCACCCCCTGGCTTGTTTCCTGGACAGTCCCAAGCCCAGTGCCCAACCTCGCTGCATCAATAGCAATGTGTTCCGCATCTTTTGCAATCCTTTGCTGCGTTCCCTTGCCGCTGCACTTGTAGCAGGTTAAGCTGGTGCTGAGGCTGCTTTTGTTAGGGACCATGGTATTACTGCGAGGTGGGCGCACTTCTGCGACTACCTCATGACTTTGGTTCCCAGCTGTTGTCACTAATTGCGCTCTTGCTATCAGGTCTGCCATAGGTAGGGTGTCAATGTTTGGTGCCCGTGGATATGATACCAGAGAACCCAGTGATGAAAGTAAGTTTGGTGAGCCTTTCCAGCCCAACTCCCTTGAACCTGGCCAATCCAGCCAACTGCTTGATCATGTTTGCGTAAACGTCTACCTGCTCACCAGCCCACCTGACCAGGCTCAGTTTCCTGTAGGCTGTAAACGCACCATTGGAAAATGCCTCCTTCAACCAGGCCTCTATCTTATTTACATCCCATTGGTCGTCTTCATCCGTCTCCATGTAGAGGGCTAGTATGTCGCAGTCCACATACAATGGCAGCAGACTTGCGATATCATCCACCAGCTGAAGTCTTACCACCAGCCTCACCCTTTTCAACCATGCTATTATGTCTCCTTCACCAGTAAATGGCTTTATTATGTCCCTGCTTATGCACACCTTCACCATAGTAATGGTGCTGAAATAGCTTGTAGCAGGAAAGCGGGGATTCTATGGCACAGACACTGGAAACTCTCTGGCAGTGAATTTTGGTTTAGTAAACAACAACGTGAACTACGGTGAACACACAATTGTTTCTGCCGACTCAACAAAAATTCGCCTTTTTTATATGTTCTTGCCGAGCCAGAGAATTTGCATATTGGGCATGCTGCCAGCCTCGATCTGAGTCACACATGCGCTTCTTCATTCCAGCGCCGGTGCTCAGAGAGTCTGCCTCACTAGCAATTTGCTCACACATATAGGCTATGCTACTCTAGCCCTCTTGGGTCTACGAGGTAATTCTCCACGTGATAGAACAGGGTTATATTATCATATAAATACCTTGCTGATGTTTTTACCATAAAAATCTACTTTGAAAATGATTTTTCTAACAGAATTGGACTTTTTATTTGAATAATGTAAATGTATTGCCAGAGATTATATTATTTGCTTCTAAAAAATTTTAAAAATGAAAAAGAAGAAAGCCTGTTTCTGTGGGGGTAACACACCAACTCAACTGATAATAGCAAGTAGTAACAAAAAAACGCGAGGAGGGTAACCGACAAAACCGGTGTCACACGTCCAAAAGCCCTCTGATCCGAAACAGAAAAACGCGCCTGCTTTATACAGCCAAGGAACGACCACGATTTGCATGCAAATGACGAGACGAGATTTCGCGTTAACTAACCGAGACCGCCCGGCATAAAACATGGGCGCCGCCATTTTGGTTCCTTTTGCCGCTAGCAGACCAGAGTTTGCATACTGCACAGATTCGCAAGCGTTTCCGAGGTAGGCCATTTTCACAATTTTCCCCACACTCCCCCCTGATCTCATGATCACAAACAGGGCAAGGAGGTGGTGATTGTTGCTGTCGCGTCTCCCTCCAAAGGGGGACAACACAAGCTTCATCCTCATGCGTGTTCTCGTCTGTAGTTTGAGTGTCAGTAAACACTGTGTCCGCCAGGAGGCTGTTATTATCAGAATCACTGCCCTGCAGGTCTAACTCCAAGCAGATCGAATGCTCATTACTCTCAGACTCAGAATCGCTTTCATCGCTCAGTAACGGTAGCGATTGCTTCACCGGTCACAAGTCTTTAATGTGACGAGGCACCCCATTAACTCTCACAGATTGCGGGCTGGTCACCTCCGTAACACGTCCAGTGCCGTATTTTGTCATACACTTGCCACATGGGTTTTTGACCCAAACAACATCTCCTTTTTTCAATCTCCCTCCAGTCACTTCTAGTTCAGGCAGCGGGTTGGCTTCGATGCCTTTCACTTGGACATGATATTTGTGCAGTGCATCAGCCGGCGCCGTGGATGGTGAAACGTTATCTTTCGGAGCGACATTATACCAGTAAACCACCTCCGATACTGTACAGCCCTTCCTGGCTGCGATGGTCTTGACGGTTCTGTGGTTTCACTCCACGATGCCGTTCCCACTCGGCAAGTAGGCACATCGAAACCGCAGATGCACGTCCCAATTGTCCGCAAATTTTTTAAAGTCCCTACTGGTGAATACAGTATCGTTGTCGGTCAGTATTTCCATGGGTGGGCCTCGCTCCAGGAAAACATTCTCCAACAGTCGAATGACGGTGCTCGCATCTTGTCTGCAGCAGCGCCGCCATACTGCAAACCTGGAGGACCGCAATCAATAAGCGCTAAAAAATTCTCACCATTGTAGTGAGTTATGTCCATCGCTAGTCTGCTCCAGTTGCTCTTCACGCTCAGTTCTCCTCTTTCCCAGTGAACGGGTGCCGGATCGATTGACTGACAGGTTGTGCAGGCCTTCACAATGGATTTAACGCTTTCTCTGGACACCTGCGGGTCGACTAACCTGGCGAAGTACAGAGTTTGTTTCACGCCCGGATGTCTGCTTTGACGATGGGTATTGGCCACCTGGTCCTCGGCCAGTCGTCTCCCTACCACTGCACAGTTCTCGAGCGCCAGTTCTCCTCTCTTGAGCAGTTCTAGCCACCTGTGCGGTACTCTGGTGAGGCGATCCGCACGGTTTTGACAAGACTGTACGAGTGTCACGTCTATGGTCAATCATATTCTTCCACCAGCGATCGCAAAATGTCCAGCCGTCGCCTAACCAGCATCTCACCAGCCGCCCTTGTGTTCACCTGTGCCTTAACAGTCAAGGTGTCGGAAATCCACCGGTGCACACACACCGAATCAGTAACCAAGTGCAATGTTATTGCCTCCCACTGGAGAGCTAGATTCACTCCTTTAAGCGCTGCATCGAGTTCAGCCAAATTAATATGCCTGGCATCATTAGTTGGACGCAGCCAACACGCATCTTCAATGACATTTCCGTTCACTTCCAATGTCACTCCTGTCGCCACGGAACTCGCATCCACCCAGACTGTGATCTCGTCACCACTCATGCACCAGTCTCCTCCAATGGGATCCAGTTCCCACACTCTACTTAACATCTCCGCTAGTATGCGACAGAGAGAGGGATCTTTGACGTTATCATCCCATCCATTGGTTGCTGCGGTTGCCAGGCGCTCGACAAATGCAACTGCCATCCACACACGGGGAAATGTCCAACAAGTTTCCCACACACCGAAAATACGTGCCGCCGGGTCAATACATCAGGGACTTCCGGAATTTGACTTCCTCATTTCCATCGAGGGTGCCATTTTCTTCCCAGACTTGCAAGCCAAGAACTCTTGCTCCATCTCTCAGTCGCACCAGATCCTTGCACACCAAACTGTAATCCGAAAAGTGTTGTCTTACACACGATGCAGAGGCCAAACTTTCATTAATGAAAATATCATCAACGTATGCTGATGTGGCACTTTCAATTGTGCGGTCTTGCGATGTGATGGCGTCTATAACGGATTTCATAATGAGTGGCACAACATTTAGCCCAAATCCTAGCCGCGTAAGACAGAAGCGTTGGCCTTTGAAAATAACCATTTGAAATGGCCACAGCGCTTCTTCAATGTGGATCTGAAGATATGTGTTCCGCAGATCCAGAAGCAACACATTGACCACCTGCCGCTGACATGTTCTCAACTTATGTGCGCACACTTCTACATCGGCAGTAAAAGCATCCCCAAAGTCGTTCAATTCGCGGTAATCAAGTACCGGACACACCTTCTGTTTCTGCTCCTGCACGACTGCCATCAAGGGAATCAGACCCTTTGGGGTCCCAGTCTTTCCTGGGGGTATGGAATCAACCAGCCGTTTACAATCCACTGTTGAAGCTCTTTCTCGTATTTTCCTCTGATGCTGTCGGGAACTTTGTACTCTGCGACCTTGTTGTGAAGCTGAACTGGTGGGTCTTTTTGGGCCCATTTCCACCTGGCGGTCCACACCCTCTCGTCGGAATTGAAAGAGACGTCAAAATCCAGCTCACTGATGCAGAGCGCTGCACACACCTTTCTTCCTTTACCCAGTTCCACATTTCCGGCTGGCGTGATTATCATGCCTTCTAACGCTCGGATTGCATCAATCCCAAGCAGCAGGTCGTAACCGAGGGGCTTTTGACGTGCCACCAAAACGTCTACCTTGGCATTCATCTGAATCTCGATTTGTTGACTGCTCCACGCATCGATCCGCACTAACGATCGATCGAGAACATCCAGTGTCAACGAGCACCGAACATCGTTTACCCTCAACACACACGTTGACAACAGGCAATGCCGCATTTACTGACCGAGAGGGGCAAGGGTTGCGACAGCAACTTGTCCCCGGACTCGTTTCCCGAGCAATCCTGTGCTACATGGCCTAACTCTTTGCAGCGATAGCAGCGTATTCATGCTTTCGTGTCCGTCGGGTTGCTCCGCCTCCCTCGTCACGCCACTTCCGGCAGTCCCTAGAGAAATGGTTGGGTCCATCGCACTTGTAGCACTTTGGGCCCTCCCGCGGTGTCTCGGACGTTCTCACAGCTGCCGCGACCTGTTCCGTGTCTTTCAAGATGTTTCGGGCCCTGGCTAGCAATTCGTCAATTCCCAGTGTGTCCAATCTTGAGGACGCTCGCAAGAGCTGACTAGTTTCGTCGGGAAGTCCTGCCAGGAAGCCGCATTCCAGTATGCAGTCCGTTGCTCTGCCAAATGGTACTGCCAGCCTTCGCAAATCAGCCAGGTAAACATCCACAGTCTCACCCAGATCGAGCTGTCGTCCGACAAACTGTTTCCAAGCGATGAAGGGGTCTATTCCAAAGGCCATATATAGGGCACCCTTGATCTCTTCTAGGTCAGCATTGTCCCCGAGTTGTTGATATACAGCGTAGGCTCCCCCCGTGTGTCTCAGTGGGATGACCAGTGCAGGTTTCTTTATTTTGGACATCCTGCAAACACGTTCGGCCTTTTCAAACCATTCGACGACAGATGGACCCGTGAGGGAGCCGTCAAATTCTGGGATCAATTTTAGATCGAACTTGTCCATCGCCGAAATAGCTTGTGGGGGTAACACACCAACTCAACTGATAATAGCAAGTAGGAACAAAAAACCATGAGGAGGGTAACCAACAAAACCGGTGTCACACGTCCAACCTTCTCACAAGCCAAAAGCCCTCTGATCCAAAACAGAAAAACGTACATGCGTTATACAGCCGAGGACCAACCACAATTTGCATGCGAATGACGAGACGAGATTTCGCGTTAACCAACCGGGACCGCCCGGCATAAAACATGGGCGCCGCCATTTTGGTTCCTTTTGCCGCTAGCAGACCGGAGTTTGCATACTGAACAGATTTGCAGGCATTTCCGAGGTAGGCCATTTTCACAATTTTCCCCACAGTTTCAGACCTTAAACCAGGGGTTGGCAACCCCCCAGGCCACATGTGGCTTGCAAAGGATTTTTGTCCAGCCGTCAACTGAACCATAGTAAGGAATTTACATTTTTTGTTGATAGCGTAAATTGTTATACTGTTATTCCTGCAGTAAAACAAGGAACTGTGTTTAAATAATATAATATTGTTGTTTTTTATTTAAACCTCCAAGGCAGCTTTCTGGATAGAGCTGCCTGAGGTCAAGACAATTTATTACAGCACATTTGATATTATGGCCCTTCTTTGAGACACTGCATAGCTGTCTGGCCCGTTCCCTCCAAAAGGTTACTAACCCCTGCCTTCAAACTTAAATCAAGAATAGTTTTGTGTATGTAGCTTTGTTTATTTTTTCATAGAGGTTTTGTTTGATATTTTTTTCCACATCAGTTTACTGACAGAAAAATTTAGATTTATGTCAGGTGAGCTACTATCTTTTCATTTCTTTGTTTTCAGGAAGATGACCTCTTAAATGTTGTTCCAGTCACCATCGCAGAAGTGTTGAATGCCACTCAAAGCAAATCTAAATTCTATTCAGGAAAAATTCCTTTGTCGCATGTGAGTTTCCCTTCTTTTTTTTTTTTTTTTTTTATTATTATTTATCTACACCTTTTATATTTGAACTATTGTCCTCATCATTGTTGTTATCACATTGTTTCGGCCATTCAGCTCTCTGGTCTTCCTCAGCTGTATATCAATCTGGGTAACCTACAGGAAATTCTGAACTGAACCCTTTATTTAATCTATGGGGATAGACTGCTCATGTCTTGGGATATCATCTATTTCTTATTTTATTTAGCACTGTTCAGTTATTGCTCATCCAATTCCACTTAGTACAAGATCATACTGCCTGACCCAGAGGTTGAACTCACAACCAGTGTAACCAAATTCACAAGCCAATACTTTTATTAATTAGGCCATTTATTTCTTTTTTATTTATTATGGGATTTATACTGCAGTCTAAAGGAAGGAAAATTCTGAATTTCAAACCAAGTGGAGACAGCAATGGAACTATGGTCTCAAAAATCATGGTAATTAACTGATGATAAAGGAAAGGAATCCGTGGAGAATCATGATTCCATATAACATGAAGAGACATGACATTAAAAAAAAAAAACTAGGAATAATATATAATAAAAAAGAAATATGCTTAGAAGATATATGAAAATTGCTCAGAGTTAACCTGTAGAAAAGACAATATTTATAAATATAAATGACAATAGGAAAACTGTAGTTATTGCTGACGCATTTCGTCCACTGTGGACTTTCTCAAAGCAAAAAACGAAATGAATTTAATTAAAGAAAGTAATTAATAATAACAAAAAACAGAATGTTCTTAGCAACTGGAGGAATGTAAAATCAAAAGAAAATGGTTGAATCCGCCAACACAGCTATAATGACAATATTCTCCACACGTGGCAATAACTGACGTTATTTTCAGTTAACAATATGAAAATAGCGTTCTCTACATTCCTCCAGTTGCTAAGAACATTCTGTTTTTTGTTATTATTCCTATTGTCATTCATATTTAGAAGATATAGTTTAATGGTATATCAGCATCCTTTTATGGGTCATTTAATACCAAAATCTGATTGCTTGCAAATGCCTGATTACAATTATAACTATTCATATAGCACAACCATTGATGAATTCCAAATAGTTTTATCTATTTGCAAGGCTCGGGTCAAGATGTGGTGTGATTTTCAGGCACTTCCCCACAGTGTAATCATCTACCCAGTCTGATTTTATCAAGTAATCACCTTGACAAAATGACTATGGAAAAATTCAAACTTTTATCTCATGGTCAGAGGACTAACAGGCTAAGCATTCAGCCATGCACACAATGCTTAGAAGGTATTAAAAAAAAATCAGTTGAAATTTTCAAATCATTCAATTGTTTTTTTCTCTTCTGCAAGTGATTAAAACATTGGTGTTCTGATAATGAGGCCTAAGTTCGAATCTCACCAGGATCAATCTGTCAAGGCTGTTGTATTGACTTGGGCAGGTGATCTTGGTATGTAGCACTGTTGGAAAGTGCCTGAAAACTGATCCATGGATAGTTCCAAGCATGTGTGAATAAAATTGGGTAGACAAAACTGTCTGGAAATTATTGAGGGTTGCACTATATGAATGTGTGTATATATATATATATATATATATATATATATATATATATAAAAAAAAAAAGAAAGAACAGTAAGATATAAAATCCGGTGTTCTTATAGATATTTTATTTTTACAAAATAGTGCTCAATGTAAATTTACAGAGCATTTACAGTGTATATATATATATATATATATATATATATATATATATACACAAAAAATAAGTGCATGATCAAATGGTTCAAAAATTGGTGTTCTGATGATGAGGACCATATAATTGACTTAATTGTCTTCTTGATGTTATTGGCCTGAGGAAATGATCCCATCATCCAGAAACCTTATGAGTGAAATTTGCTAATCAAAATTGTTTGAAAGCTGTTGATGGTTGTACTAGCACAAAGTCACAAGTCATTGTGACTGAGGATTTTAACATACTGGCCTTGTTTATCCAGATAATGTACTCTCTCCCAGAAACTATAATTCAGGTTTGCTCCTTATAATTGCTGTTATAAACCACAGGTTAATACTTTTGGTGTTGAAGAGACACAAACATGCATGAGCAGGTGTCTACAACAGGGATTAACTAGCCACTGTAGCTGATGGTTATACTTAAAAATGAATTTCAATCATCACAGAAAAAAATACCTCTAAACATAAATATTCTTTGTTGATATTAATTATTTATTTGGTCAAGCTAGTTTGGACATTCTATCATGCCAGCCATCATGGTCCTGCATCAAGGTCATTAAGGTGACATTCTGTCATAACATAATTGATCAATATAAGTGATTGCTGTCTTGTACCATGGCTATGTGTTCAAAGTAGTAGATCACTTGCAAGTTTTTGTCTTGCTTGACAGAAGTGTCCTGCAAAGCATATTCTGTCTACAAGTTTGTAGAAATATCGGGGATGGAGCCATAAAGCTGTGATTTAGTTGGTTGTTGTCTCCAAGAGATGTTGAATATAGATCTCAGCATCCGTAAGCTCCATCAAACTTAGGCTCATGGCCGATATTAATAGACCTATATAAAATGTCTGTTATATATTCTTGAGAGAGGAATTTAATTAAAAACATAGATAAAAGTGGTATTAAATAAATAATTTTAATAGCAAACTAAATTACGTTTAAAAGAAAAAAAAAACAAAACTTCTATTTAAATTCTTGATAATGTGTGACATTTAAAAAGAACAAAAAAAAAAATTCTTTTTAATCCACTAAACAATGAATCAAGGGAGATAATCTACATTTTTCCTGTTATGATTTTAAGAAATTATCAATCTTGACTTTTCAGTTTGAGGGTCGCATTGTATATTTTGCATATTTTAGTGAGCTAAATAAAAAGATCAGTTTTATAAATGAGTGAATAATTTTTATTTGGATCATATTTTGGCAAACTTTAACATTTGTCTAAAAAAAAAAAAAAAAAATGGAAAACAGTGTATGGAATGCTATAATTTTGTACTATCTTCACTCACTCAGCAGTGGTTATATATAAGATTATAAAGATATGTGAACGAAGTACAATGTGATATTTATTATTTATCATTGATAAAGAAATTAAAGTGAAAAAAATATTTTTATTCAGAAGTTTTTAAAAAAATTACAAAATTCTCAAATTATGTAATCCAATTACAATGCATTATTTATCATTTACCATTTTATAAATAACTATGAAAACCAGTTTTTTATTTATAATATAAAAATATTGAATTATAAAACATTTATTTCTTTATAAATTGATAAATGATAAATATTGCATTAGTCATTTCTCATTTTCAGGGTTTGCATTTTTAGGATGTAAATATAAAATTATTCTTGTAAATAAACAATATAATAAATATTGTTTATTTTTATTGTAAATTCTCAAAGAACAAACAAAATGTATAAATTCACATTCATATGTTTTGGCTTTATTAAAATTCTAATCATCACTTTTTAAAACAACAGTCCGGTTGCACATAAGCCACACATACCTGACCCATTCATACTTGCTGAAGAATGAAGATCAAGCAACATGTACAACATGCCAAGCTGTACTCATAGTGAAACACATTTGAACTTAATGTAGTCACTTAGCACCTGTAAGACATAAATACTTCAAGGAAACCAATGTGAGAAAACTATTTCAGAATACTGAAACCGTCAACATAATGTCCTACCTTAAAGAAATAGGTTTATGTCAACACATATAACACCTACAACAGATTATCTACAAACTATATACCTATAAAACATGTTTACCCTGAAGATACTTGTAAATGAAGGTATATAATTGCGTTCAAAACATATTTAGTTGAAGCCATAAAATTCTGTTCAAAATACTTAGATTTCAGTTTTAAGTAACCCAGAGAAGTTGATATGCTGTCAAATGAAATCAACCAAACCAAACTAAAACAACAAACATTGCTGAGGGAGTGAAGGTAGTTACAATAATAGTGGTGTCAAAGGAAAAACTGTCTTTTTGACACACCGTTTTCTTCTTTTGTTTTTTTTGGTGGGGTGCATAAACTTTAAAGATTGTTTTGAGGAACATGGAACCAACTCTTAATTAAAACATGTTACTAAACTTGAAAAAACTTGTGTAAAAATGAAGTTGGGTTTCAGATTTCATACTAACAGATGATTACTATTCTCTAAATGGTATAAGTATTATCTATTTATTAAAAGTAATTACTTATTCACGTTTTGTCAATGCCACATCTGTTGAAGGATTACCAAGAATGAAAATAAAACATAGGTATTACCATGAAAGAACTCTTTCATGACCTTAATCCATATAATATCATACAATTTTTTTTTTTTTTTTTATCAAATTGTATTCCAAAATATAACTTCAGTAAGACTATAACAAAACATGCATATCATTGCCTCTAGTAATTCTGTCCACACAAACATTTATATGCACAAAAGCTGCATATCATCTACCATGTATTCAATTGTGAAAGCAGAATAACATAATTTTATTACTTCAAAGCTCTCAAGAAAATTAAGTTTTGGCACGAAATGATCCATAAAGAGTTGATATGCTGTTAAATCATTAACCATGTCTGGTGTATTTTTAGGTGCAAATCATTGGATGGGTGAAATCAGTTGAGGAGTCGTCCACAAGATTTGACTATGAGATAGAAGATTACAGTGGTGTACCTTTAACTGTGAAGCAGTTTGTACTCAATGAGGTAGGTGAAGTTTTCTTATCTTCCATATTATCTCTTCCAAAAGAAGACGTGCACAAACACATTTTGGCAGCAACCTTTCTTTCAAACATGTTTTCATTGATTATGACAGAAGGAAAATTTTTAATTTTTCTTTGAGAAAATGACTGAAAAAAGAAATAGAAAAAAGCCAGAAAGTCAACTTTCCTACTCAGTAAAGTGATCGAAGTCTAGATTGTCTAGACTTAGTAAAAAACACTTTCCAATGTTAAATCCTGTTAAAGGATGGCTCTAGTCATGACCCAAGTTTCACGCAACATGATCTTCAAATGACTTTGCATGAAACTCGAGTCACGACTAGAGCTGTCCTTATTTATTATATATACATAAACATATATATAGTTTATGAAAAACTAGGTAATCCGTATAGGTAAACCTAAGGAGGATAAAATCCAGAGAGCTCAATGTAAATCCAGAGCAAATAATTTAAATAAAAACAGACCACTTTAAGATTCCATGTAATAAATTATTTCCCCACTGCCCTCTTAAAGGACTGCGGATCATCAGACTTTACTTCCAAACAAAAAATGAAAAGAAAATTTACACGTTTTTGACAGGCCATATTAAACATATGTAAATTAACAAAGTGAGGAAGTGAGTGGGGAGAGAGAAGACATGAGTGACTTAGCAGACATTGACACCTTTAAACAGTTAACTTAACGGAAGTTATATATTGATCGAAGGGGTAGAGAAGAAAAAACCCAACGAGAGAAGGAAGTAATGAGAGAAAGTGTAACTAATTTTCTTTGTAAAAAAAGGCTAGAAACAGACGCTGTTATTTTGTTTTACTTTGAAAGTGTTATTTTGGGGGTTCATAAAGATTATAATGTTTGATATAAATTTGAATGTCTCTAAACTGTCTACAAATGATTTAATTTGATGTTTGTTAGTGATTAAAATTTTGGAGATTTTCTATGAAATAATCAATTAGAAAAATATTCATAGAAAGTACATTAAAAGAATAAAATTTTATTTTAAAATATAAGTTTACTTCTAGTAATCTTTTTTTTAATCTCTTTAAAAAAATTTTTATTATTGATTATTAAGTTGACATCTCTATCTGTTTGGATATTGTCCAAAATAACACTTTCAAAGTAAAACAAAATAACAGTCTGTTTCTAGCCTTTTTTTTTTTTTACAAAGAAAATTAGTGACACTTTCTCTCATAACTTCCTTCTCTCTTTTTCTCTCTATGGGTTTTTTTCTTCTCAACCCCTTCGATATCAATATATAACTTCCGTTAAGTTAACCGTTTAAAGGTGTCAATGTCTGCTAACTCACTCATGTCTTCTCTCTCCCCCCTCACTTCTTTAATTTACATGTTTAATACGGCCAGACAAAAATGTGTAAATTTTCTTTTCATTTTTTCTTTTTTTTAAGTAAAGTCTGATGATCCGCAGTCCTTTAAGAGGGCTGTGGTGTAATAATTTATTACATGGAACCTTAAAGTGGTCTGTTTTTATTTAAAAATATATATAATCTAAAAGGATATTACATCAAAAATGTAAAATTGCTACACAATTGCAGTCGTGTTTCAATGTATCTCAACAGGAGATAGTAAATTACTGATGAGTGAGCGATTTATTTAGATTGAAAAGCAAAATACCTGTTTTTTCTAAAAAGAAAAAAAGGTGGTTATAGGGTTTGAGGGCTTTACTCTGATCAACCAATCAAATATGACTTACTTTAAATTTAAACTAAGCAAAGAAGCAAAACTGAAAAATTATTTTTTATAAATGGGTCATGACCCATAGATGGGCAGCTAACAGCAGCCAGACTTAAGCTTAAACCAGATACATAAGGTTACATAAAATATATAAAACCAGACAATACAGTTTCCTAAGAAATAATGTAGGGAGTAAAGCGGCAATTTAACAAAAGCCAAACAAAATCAATGTAGCAATGCTCGCACTGTTTCAGAGACAGTAAGTTGTCTGTGAAGTCCCATCAGGCTAGTTCCAGAGAAATTTAAATTTTCATGGGTAATTTCATATGTAATACACTTATGTCACTAAAAAGTGTATACTTGATACTACTAAAATCATGTTTTACTTTTATAGGAATTGAAAGTCAAAGGTTTCAAAGTTGATTTTAATGGAGAATAGGGGAACATTTTCATCACAAATTTATTGGCCAAAGTATCTGAATGGTCAAATCTTGAGTATTCATTTATCCCTAAAATTTTTATTTTTGATCATTAAAAAAAATTTTTTTTTAAGTTCAGTTCATTCTGATTTTAAATATATCTATTTTTATATATCAACACCATTTTAAATATATCAGCACCCAACAGAAAACTATTGCAGATTTTTAAAAATATGGAGAAACAGCTAAAAAACATCTCTGTCATGTGATGGCCCTAACTTTTGATCTATCAGTTAGATCGAGCTAAAACCCATTTTCTCAAATGGGATGTTCTCCAACAAAGAAATTTCAAAGAGAGAACTTTTATTTTTTTATTTACAGAATGTTGTTTATTGATTTCCAACACCCTAGCATTGTTGAATTTTTTGTTAATTGATGTCTGCTTCAGTTTATTTATTTAATAATTAGAAATGAATTTACTATTTACATTGTTCAGACTATCATTCTCATCTTTGTTGCCATATTTATCACAGCATTTCGGCCGTTGTACGTTCCGGCCTTCTTCAGATGGTTGGAATGTCAAACTAAACCCTTTATTTCACTCGCTGGGCTAGACTGTTCTAGTTCCATGTGCCATGGATGTCAGTTATCAGTTATCTCCTGTTAATTACCCTCTCCAAGTTCTCCACTGCCTTATCCAGTGACAGGAGCCAAAGACTGAGTTCAATACCTGGTTATGGCAGTGGAGAAATTGGAGAGGGGAATTAACAGGAGATAACTGACATCCATTAGACATAGTATGTGAGACTAGAACAGTCTACCCTAGCAAGTGAAATAAGGGGTTCAGTTCAACAGTCCACAAACCTGAAGAAGGCTGGAGCGTACAATGGTGGAAACGTTGTGATAAATGTGGCAACAATGTAAATAGTATACATAATACCTCATCTCAGAAATATAGACAGATAGAAATGAATTAAAACAAATTACTATACACTAGGTACCGCCACTGAATTTTCGATACCTAAACTTAAAAATGAAAAAGCATTATTGAAGATTTCATTTTTTAATTGAAAGCTAAATTGGGTTATATTTTAGGGCCAGATGAATGAAGATGAAAAGATGAAACCCTTTCCTGAAAAGACATATGTCCGTGCATGTGGCAAAATCCGATCGTTTGGTGGTCAACGCTGTGTTGTGGCAGGTAGAATTTTTGCATTGAGCGATATGAATGAGTTGACCACTCACTTGCTGGAAATTATTCATGGCCATATGATGTTCTCTACCATCCAAGAAACAGTAAGTATTTAACCAAAGTCTGTCTATAACTGCAAATTAGAATGTGGCCAGTTTCATTTTTTCATAAACCTAAATAAAAAAAAAAAATAAATAAAACAAATTCTGGCCTTTAGAAATTTTGGAATTTTCTGAGTTTCTTTACTATAAGTTGGCAGGCCTAGAATATTCCGACTGTATCCATTGCAGAGGAATAACCCAAATCCCATCCTGAAAGTAGCCGCCTACAAATAATTGCTTACTGACACAAATATATACAACCAGCATTTAACTGTCCCCGAACCAAGTAAATGCTTAGAGACTCAAATATAAACATCCAATATTTACCTTCTCCAAACCAAGTAAAATGCTTATAGACTTAAATCAAGGTTATATTTATAACGGGGCTGACAGTCATGCAACTGGGGCCCACACCTGAAGGCAGACATTTAGGCCTAAATTAGTACTGAATATTAATTTCAGAGAATGTTTTTAGCAAGGAATGTATTAGTAATATCCTGTAACTAGTTAGCTACTATACCCATTATTAGGAAGCATTGACTTATTTCCATAAATGCAAACATACAAAGAAAGAACATATTTATCACAACGTTTCGGCCGTTGTACGCTCCGGCCTCCCGGAAAGAACAAAACTAATCCCTTCTATTGACTCAATGCACAAAAAAAAAAAAATAATTTTATTCCCCAAAAATTAGGAACATTTTAGATGCCATTGCAGAAATATCTTTTTTGTTTAGAATAATTAAACAAAAACATAGAAAATATAAGTATATGATCCATTGAGAAAACAAGAGTTCAACATTTCACAAAATTGTGTATAAACAAAGTCTGAAAATACTTGAGAGGAAAGAAAAAAAAAACAATGAATCTCGGTCAAATAAAAATTTGGACAATGTTTGTAGATTTTATTTTGTGATTTTTTTTAATTTTTTTTTTTTTTTTTTTTTGAATCACCCCAATCTAGGCAGTAGTGACATTAAGGGACAAAGGGTTACAGCATATTGAAGAATTAAGGAACAGAAACATTAATGAGCAGAAAGAGAAGATAACAATCAGGTGGACAGTAGATAGTGATTCACATTGCATTTAAATTTTTGCAGATTAAAGTTGACTGGAAAGCATAGTGCCAGAAGAGTGTTCCACAAGCAAGAAGTGTGAGAGAAGAAACTGTTAGCATAGAATTTACAGCTACATCTAGCCAGCTCAACTGTAAATTGATGAGTCTAGTGCTGCATTTAAATTCAAAACCTCTAGGTACCATAGCAAAAAACTCATTCAAACAAATACTATGAAAGTATTTATAGAAAAGACACAGAGAGGTGACTTTATGGTGGTGGGAATGTGACTGGAGCTGAGCCGTCAGATTAGACAAATAATATTACAGATTCTTCTTTGGATCTTATCAAAGTGTTCAAGGTAAAAGCAGGGGAACCAGACCATATGTGGCAGCAATATTCTAAGCATTGACATCTACAGGTTTATAAATCTTTGTTTTACAGGTGAAGAAAATACTTATTCCACTATATGATAATAGATATTACCAGTAGACATGGTTTTAGTTAAAATAAATTTAAATTAACAGAAACACAATTTTAACAGGATAATTTTGGTCAGTTAACCAATTCACCATAAAAAATGTGCAAAAATAAAAATACCCATTTCTCTAATAAAAAATAACTTTTTCTGAATGTATAAGTAATTTTTAAATTTTATTTCATGGATGTATTTTTACTACTTGAAAAAAAATAAATTTCTTAATATTGATTATTTCTTAATTGGAATTGTATAAATATTTTTATCTTCTAAATAAAATTAAAATACTGCAAGTTCAGGAGTTTTGTAGACATGGCCTTGAGAATATATTTTTATTTTTCAATATTACATGTGAGGTGTGATGAACTTAACTAAGATGCTTAACAAATTGTCTTCAGAAACGAAACCCTCAAATCGATTGGATTATTCTACAGGTTTATAAATCTTTGTTACTTTTTACAGAATCATAAACAGTCAGTTAACAATAATGATTACGAAACATCATCTTTCGGAATTCCTGGCCTTGGACACTTGCATAACCAGGTAAGTGAGGCTTTTTTTTTTTTCGTCACTAAAAGCAAAAATAAAACTAATCTGTTTAGTATCTGTCTATATTTCTGAGATGAGATACTGTAAATATTATTGGGGGTGTCAGGGTTTCAAGGGGGAAATTGAAGCCACAGATCGGTAAACTCAAAATGTTAACTCTCAAACTCCTTAAGGTGGCACAACCTGCAATGTGCATTGATTCGTGCAACTGAGAGGTCCCACTGGATTCTTTTCCCGCAAGTTCTTATGTTTTTTGTCCCTACAAAAATAATCCATGTAATTGTATATGTATTGATAGGGAAAATAATGAAGATTTTCAATAATATATGCATATTATTTGGAGGTGGGGTGGCTGACATCCTGACCTATATTGAGAACCATTGGTTTAATTTATTGCTGGTGGGGATAAGTTTGTGTTATTTCCCAAGTGTTATGTAAGGTTAGGCAGCAGGCTAGTCTGGAATTTGAGCTTGGCTCATCAATAACCATTACACTACCTGCACATTCAAATAATGACATAACTGATTTAATTTGTTGGTACAAATTGGGGTAACAACCAACTTTTCTTGCAGGCCATTATGGCTGAAGTAAATTCAGTCCTCACTGGATGATCCACACTTGTGGCTTTGTTTCGTTTGTCTCTTTATAGTGCAATTATGTGACACATCCAATATAAAATTGGTCAAAATACAATTATTTTTTTCTTTTCTAAGAAATAGGTGCCACATGGATATTCAAAGAGAAATTTCAGTGTTTATACATTCAATTTTCTTTTTTTCTCTCTTTTTTTTTTTTAAAGGACCCCTCCCCTGCACACCAGTTGTCTCTTCTCATTCTTTCAGCTCCTCCCCCATCATCTCCCTAGTCGCTCTTCCTTTCTTTCTTTTTTGTTTCTCCAATTGCTCTCTGTCAACTCCCTTTGTCACTGTTACTCCTCTCTAACAAGCCCCTGGTAACCTCCTGGTCAGTCTCTCATTTAACCCAAATGACCTTACATACTACCCATTCTTTCTGTTTTTTAGATGAATGAAAACTTTTTCATTTTGATTTTTCAGGTTCATCAGATTATAAAATCCACACCAGATGATGAAGGCTGTGACATCTCCAAAATCTTTAGGCAGCTTCGTGGAGTCACGGAAAACAACATCAGGTAAGCTTTTTATGTTTAAACTTTTTAAGACCTTCACATTTGTTTTTCAAATAAATATAATGATTCTCTGTAGTAATTGATATTTTCATCTGCTGTTATTATCATGTTGAAAGTATTGACCATTATCACCAGACCTAAATATCTATATTCATTTCTTTTTTTAAAAAAAACAATTGTTAATATGATTTTTGCCTTACTAATGATCCAGATTTGTGTTTATTTTTTACTTTTGATAAAATTATGAACAAATTGTGATGCATTTTCTTTGTTTTGACTTTTGTGTATTTAAAATTAAGATTATCTAGTACAATTTTAATGTCTTTGGTTTAGTTTCTTTATTTAATTAAAAATTTTGTAAACTATCTCAAAACCTAATTTTAAGAGCCCATAGCAATTTAAATTATTTCGAACAAAGATAAAATGAAGATAAAAATAGTTTATTTGCATGAAAAACAGCATTTGACAGCATTCAATTTCATATTTTCTAAAATATCAAATTTATAAGGTGCCAAAATCAGTAAAATCATGATTTCGGCATAACAAGTTGTTCTAGAAAAAATGTTTTAATCCTAGACACCGAAAGAAAAAAACTTCTGTCATAATCTTCAGACATGTAAGAATATGTAGTAAAAATATAAAAAAAATTTCTTAAACTGCTGATGAAAGTAGGCAAATTTAAAGATGTTAAAAAAAAATTGAGTAATCTTCAAACAGTAATACTGACATTATCCTATAATGGATGAATATGGTTACTGCAGAGAAATGATCTATTAAGTCATGAATTTGGATGCTGTATCTGATATACTTGGTAAATGAGAAGCTCAAAGTGGACAGCGTCTTTTTGACTATTTTCAGACCCTTATAAAAATAAAAATACATAAGACACACCTAAGCTGTTTATATTTTTGTAATCTATAATAAACATTAACTCTTGTCACCAAGGTTCAAATTTCAAGATGCTCTGATTTTAAAACTAATAAAAGATAAAGATCTAATATTTAGTATTTATCAATAATTTTGATCACAGAACATCTGAATTTTCCAGATTTCTCTGAGAGGGTCACTTGTGGCCATTGCTCAATTTAAGATAGACTGACCCAGATATTTTTCTATTATTTAACTTCAATCTACATTTTTTATTCAGGTTTCATTTGCCAGTTTAAAACATTTTTGTTTATTTTGTGCATGCTTATTCCATTTATTAAAAGCCCACCTTGACTGGTGAAAAATAATTTTTTATTTTAAAAAAAAATTATTTTTTAGAATAAACATGATAGGATAAAGAACAAAACAAATAGGAAATGTTTATAAATTTAGTGAGTGTTACTTTATTAAAGTTTCATTGGAGAATGAGATCTGGAGAAAAAAGAAAGAAAAAAAATTCTGGTATTTTTAATTTAGCCTAGATATATCACTACAAATAAATATACCCATTACAAAATGCCTCAACCACCTAAAAGAAAAAAAATACAAAGAACTTGCTCTGCCTGTCCATAAAATTAAACAAATCACTAACCACTGTTTCTTCTCTTTCAATAAATGTTTTTATAAGTAAAAATTTGGTTTATATATGGGATCACCAATAAGCAGTATCCTTGCTAGTCTGTTCCTAGAATATTTAGAGTGCAACCCATTTAAATATTTCACACCTAAAAACTCCACTTACCTTGGATATTTAGAGGATGATATTCTAATATATCCTCACAATGAAAATTTATTAATCGTCATAAAGAAACTTAATGTAGAACCTGCCATCGAATTCACACAGGAATATGTAATAGGCAAAACTCTACCTATCATTGACATCTTATTAATATATAACAATAACAAATTAGATTTTAAAGTTTAGCACAAGCCCACTAACAAAAACAATTTAATCCATTTCTATTCTCACCACAACCAAGAAACAATATCGGGTCTAATCATAGTATTTTATCTCAGGAACCCTTAGGATATGTAACCCAGAATACCTAGATGAAGAAGAGGAATACATTGAAAAAAAACATTTAGATTTCTTCCCTACCCACATCATTTCATCCTTAATGCTAGAAAATGAGCACAGAAATAAAAAAAGAAAAAAAAGTAGACACTGCCAACAGCACTTCTAATATCAAAAACACAAAATTCATAATCTTAGCCTGCAACACTATGTAAAAAATAAGGTTTTTACCACCACCTCCAAGACAATTGGAAAAATAGTTAGGAAGAAAAATAGATCCAATGCCACTTCAGATGCCAGGATTTATAAAATAAAGTGTGTACATAGAAAATTACATTGGTGAAACATCAAGAAATTCAAAAGCTCGCAACTATGAACATAAGAGAGGCCTACATTAAAATAGCAAACATATTGTTTTATGCAGGAAATACTTTGAGGGTGGTTTGATAAATATCTTATCATCTATAACCGCCTGTCAAACACACTATATTACATCACTAACTTTTATAAAACGCATACTTTAAGAATCTGTCTACCTACTACTATCAACACTACAACTAATGATACATAAAAACGTCCCCAAATCAACATGTGAACAACCACCAAACATAAATAAAAAATGCCTACTAGGACACACACATTATCATCTGAATCTCGCATAGATAAATTAGAATCATGATACATTTACACACAAATTTTACACATGAACACTGCTTGACAAGACAAATGCACATGAAGCTTACCCAATGAAAAACAAACAACACAAAAATTTAAAATACTAGAATATTTTTTCCCCTTTATTTTTCTCCATGTCCCATTTGCTGATGGCGCTTTAAAAGCGAAACATTTTAGATTTATAAATGTTTCCTATTTGTTCTTTATCCTATCATTCTGTTGAATTCCGATCTCTATTTGATCTCAATTCAATAAACATAATAAAATTTTAATAGTTTTGTATCGTCCTAAACTAATTTTTAATCTCTGGCTCACTTTCTTTGTGTAATTTAAACCCTTCTCTCTTTTAATTTGCAGAGATGTGATAGAGTTCCTCAGTGCTGAAGGTCACATTTATTCAACTATTGATGAAACACACTTCAAAGCTACCGATGGCTAAAAGACCCCAAAGAATTCTACAAAGGATTACAATTATTCATTTTTGACTAGTTTTACTTTTCATCTTATTTTTGTTGCAATACTGAGATCATTTTACAATCTACGACCATCAAGTAAACATTTTGACTATCTGAACCCTTAGATAATGTCTTTTATATTTTTGTTACTCTTAGAAATTGCAGTATAAGACTAAATTTTATTTACCAATAATAAAAAAAAACATAAGTTTCTTAACATATTCACTGTAACCTTGAATATTTGAACCCTTTTGAATTCTTGTAATGGTTATTGTCCTCACCATTGTCGATATCATAATGGTTTGGTCGTTGTGTTCTCTGGCTTGAAGAAGGAATGTAGTGATAACAACAAAGATGAGGATGTTAGTTTGAATGTAAATACTGGCTGAGATTTTTTTCCTCGTCTTTCCATTGTATGTATTTGTGGGTATTTTTTTATTTGTTATTTACAAAAAAATCAGCTCTGCAAACCAAAGTAATTTTTTTTATTTAGAGAAATAAAAAAAAAAAAGAGTAAAATCTTATGGCTAAATTTTTTTTTCTTTTAATTTTGGTGTTGAAGTCTTATGTAAATTAAAAAACCTGTAAATAAGCACATCCTCCAATCTGTGCTATTGAGTAGAAACCATGTCAAATGCATTGCTGTAGCAAATTCACGTTACCTTCCACAAAAGCAATATGCAGTGCATCATGTAGAAGTCAACACTGTGAATCAGCAATGAAGACGCCTCTGATGAGAATCTCACTTTGAGATCCAGTCATGGAGGCCCACCATCAAGTATCATTCATATTTAGCCAAATAGCTGCACTTTCTGTGGTTCAATTGTATGTTATTACTGAAGATTGATTCAAGGATGTGGAAATCAAGTTCAAATCTCGTCAGAGGCTTTATTTTTATTTTTTAAATTCTGACCAGTATCATTTTCCAAATGGTAGTAGAATGTAAAAACCACCTGATTATTGCAATAAAAAGCAACAAAATTGAAATGAAAGTATTTGAAAGAAATAATGGTAATTCATCTTAAAATCTGTGGCAGCAGAAAGAATTTCATGTTTATTAATCATTAAAAACTTTGAATTGTTCACATTTTCAAGAACATGATCATGATATGATCTTAAATAAACATAGCAAAATCAAGTCCTTTGAATATTTAAATTCATTGTGTTTTTTTTTTCTTTTTTCTTTCTTTTTTTTTTTTTCATACATATATACAAGGGGAAAGTCAAAAGTATGCACACTTATAACACGTGATGGTGAAAGTGTAGATAATTTTTGACATCTATATCTATAATTCCCAAAATGTGTGTGTGATTGGATGTTGTTTATGCGTTTCCACAGTTTTCATCTGCTTTCGATGAAATTTTTTTTTGTTTGATAGATAATTCTTCAGTTCCAGTTTTGAGTCCAAATTGACTGGAAAAAATTACAATCTTGGTGAAAAATAGAAAAAACTGACTTTTTTTTATTTTTTTTTTTTACACTTTGCACAAAAATCAAAGGCAAAATTTAATGTCTGTAAAAAAAAACAAAAAAAACAGCATACAATCAATTTTGAGAGTTGAAATCTAACGCAAAAAATTATTAGAATTATTTAAAAAAAAATTATAAATAAAAATTATCGTATATTATTATTATTATTATTATGATGGTCCATGGAAGAGGTTCCTTCCTTGCAAGATTGAGAATGCAAAAACGACCCTTTTCAGCCTCCACTTCAAATTGTTTGCTCTCTCAACCCCAAATTTGGGGATATGACTCAGCTGCACCAAATTGTTGTTATATTGATTTTGGGGTAGGCTGACTTTAAACTGCTCCAATTGAACACCAAAAACTCCCAGTAATGACCCCCCCATCAAATACAGGTTATACTACTAATATATATATATATATATATATATATATATATATATATATATCCCTGAACTGGTTTCAGGGTAATACTGTGAACATACGCCCATATCTGTTAGTCAGCCTTTCATTGGCTGGTAAACTTCTGTCCAATGCTATTGCCACAGTTCAATTTCAAATTTGGTGGGAGCAAAGCAGAAGAAGGCCAAAGAAATTGAAGGTAATAGAATGCACAAGGAGAAAAGCGTAAAGTTCAGCCATCTTGAGATATCACTTTGGGGAGAACAGAAAAAAATGTCTGTTGGGCAACCTTTTTTTTTTTTATTCATGGACTGCCTGTAGGTAGATAAGTTACATATACAACATCTTTGCTATTTTTTTTCTGTCTTCTCTCAGACTAACTGACCAGATCTTCCCTTCAGCCAGTGAAAAGTTTCACTCCTTATTTTATGACTGACACTCCAACTGCCTCTCTCCACATCTCAACAGGCAGTTTGTGAATGCCCTTGTTTAGAATGCAGCCCAAGCCCATAACCAGAATTCCCTCTCTTCTGGCTGAGTGACATTTGATGTTGAAGGTTTTAATTATTTTTTCCTCTACTTATAGTCAATGGGTGGTTACTTTGGAGCTTTCACATCTTAATTTTATTGGTGAGGCCGTTGGTCACCATAGAACCAGTGACTTCAAGCCTAGATGCACTTGTTTGGTGTCCTAACTTGTTTGGTTTATAAAACAAAAGTTGTTTCATAAAAAAAAAATGGGGTGAAGGTGTTAGCCGTTAATTATTCTTTCCATGGCTTCCACTGATATAGGGAGGTCATAGATAAACAAAGGCCAGAGAATTCTGTGGAGCAGAGCGTGTTGATAAATCCACGCTTTGAAACGTCTCGGAAGTCTGGATTTGTTCACCTCGGATGGTCGAAGTATCCTTTAAGGAGCTGTTAAATTTTTTTCCCAGGCTTTTCATGGGTCTCTGTCAACGATATCAAGAAAAGGAAATTATCTGCTACAATTTTAATTATACTTGGTAAGCGGGTACAAAGTACAGTTGGTTTTACTAGAGTGCGTCGCTTCATACAATAAATTTTTAATTTTTTTTTTTTTGAAAAATTTAATATACACAATACTTAAAATATTTTAAAAACAATTTAATAATTAAGATAACAAATACTTATTTAATAAAAATGCATGATTGTTTTTCTTTTGTTTTTTCTTTTGCATATCTTTTCTTTAATTTTATATTTATATATCAGGCGGCCTGACGATTGCATCTAGCATGAAACAGCCTGTCGCGTCTGAGTGTTGACTTCAATGTTCACTTTTATATTTACTTACGCTATATCTCTGATATTGAGCACTTTATCCCATAAATATAGTACACTTTAAAACTATGCATATATATATATATATATATATATATATATATATATATATAAGAATGTAATTTCCGGATCGCCCTGCTTATGCGAAAACTATAAACAAATCTTCAAAACAAGTTGGAATTTGGCTCCAGAAAGAAATGTTTACTCATGGCCAATTGTATGTTGCATGCTCAAGAGTAAGAAATCGTAGGAATTTATTCTTCGCTCTTAAAAAGGAAAAGCAATTTTCTTAAATATTGTCTACCAAGAAGTCCTATTAAATTAATTATTAAACCGCAAAGTAGTTTTCTTTCTGAAGTATTTTCCAAACAAATCAGCTTATTCAAAGTTTGCAAAATGGAACGAAATGTAGAGTTTGTAAATCTCAACAAAAATGTTAGCTATAACTTCAACAATATTAAATACTGAAGATTTCAACATGCATCAGCATGTTGCAAGAACAATTCTACTCATAAAAAATTCATTATTCATAAAAAACAAAAATTTTCTTAAGTGTCCATAATATAATAATTTTATTTGACGATTCAGAGCAGATTTTCTGTAACTGTGGATCCTGTTTGACCAAAAAAATGATTTAAATTCTCTAAGGATTTGTTCTCATAACTAATATAAAAATTAAAAGTTACAAAAAAAAAATCTCGAAATTTCATAAAATTAAATAAGTGGTGGGTAACGGATGTAAAAGAAATACTAATAATAATGTTCTCAAAAAAAGAAACATTTCAAAACTAATTTCATAATGATTCATTCAGTAATAAGTCCTGAAAATTTAATTAAAATTCGACAATTATCTGATTTTTGCAAGATTCTCCAAATCCATGTGTTTTTCACCACAAAAAGACGATCAAATTGCCCATACAAATTTAAGGTCTCGTGTTGACACCAGGAAAACAATTTTTAACCAATATTTTCGAGGTACTAAAAAAGATTTTCAAATATTCTTTAAGCTTGCATCTTAATAAAGGTTTTGACAATAAAATTTTGTTTTATGTATTATATAGATAGTTTTATATATTATATATATATATATAAATTTTCGTCGTGTACGCTCTTTTTTAGTAAATTTTGGGAGGTACCTAAAAACACTAAACAAAATGTGTAAAATTACTCAAACTTAATGTAATTCAAGGCGAGCAGTATTTTTGTCAATAAAGGTATCACTGCAAAACATCAAAATCACTCGAAGAATATATCATTTGAACTTTTATTAATTTGGCATATATATTTATGTGTGTGTACACGAGCGTTTAATTAAAAATACGATATATCGTATTTGACGGGATATAAAACACGCTTTTACCCCTAAAAATGTTGACAATACCGGCTTGCGTCTTATAGGCGAAGTTGAGGCTACTCGTAGGCTGAATTTATCCTCAATTCTCTCCACCGTATGCTATAATTTTGCCTCACATGCTCACGTCTACCTCATCCGGCTCCCTAATAATTTACGCAAATGACTTATTATAAAAAAGGAATTATCCTAAATATGTAGTGTGACACTGGGATCCCCGGAAAGAAAGGAAGAGGAAAGAGTCTACTAACTGCATTATAATTGTTGAAATTCGCAAGATGAATTGAAAAGTTAGAAAAAATTAAAGACAAAATGCGTTGAAAAATCACGTTTAATTCCAAGGTGAATCGAACCCAAATTGAACTAGGCGGAGTTCACTAAGATTGAGTAAAACCAAGACAACCTGTTCTTCCCCACTTCCAAAGAGGCCATTAATGTATCTGCGAATAAATCAAATAGAA